ATAGATCCCTAACCTAAAACTAATAACCTACTTATATTAGGTCTTAAGGATAAAACCTTTAGAGAGGGGATTTAAAATTACAACTTAAAAATAAAAATAATAAATAACTAACCTATTTAGATATTAAGCAGCTAGGATAAGATATTTGTACTATAAAATTATGGGAATAATAAGGACTCACTTAGAATAAAAGAACTATAATATAAATTATATAATAATAAGATAAGAAAATAATTAATAGAGTATACGAGGAAACACTTAGTAATTAGTTAGTTTTACTAACTAATTATAATTACCTCACATATTTAGGTAATCACCCTAAAAGTAGATAAAGGACACTATTTAGAACTTATATATAGTATAACCCTAAGCCTAGCTTATAGTCAGACTTCTATAGCTTTTCAGCAATCAACTTAGTATTCATCCTTATAGATACTCTCAGCTTACCTTCACTGCGAATCACTTATTAAGTCTAAGACTGATCACCTTAGCCTCTGAAGACCTAACCTACTACAGCTTACGACCTACGAACAAGACCACGAACCCAGTATACTGTTATAGTGTATCAATCCCCAGCTTCTGTTAGCAGACCCTACTGTCGGATAGCTGACCGTAACAGCAAGTGTTAAGGTCAAGCGCACCTGGAATGTATTGACATTCTTGAAAGCTTTGCCAACAAGTCAATTAGAGTGATTTTTTTTATTGAGCGCATGACACAGAATCTCGGAGATTAGATAGTCAATCACGTCACCTCTAACATGTGTGTTTAGTTGATTGTGCAAGAGCTACATGGGAAATTTCCAATTCTATGTGGTGGACGGTGAGGCAACATTACTACCCACTTACTAAACTTTTGCTAATATCAGACTGGACAATGTTTCCCTGAATCTCAGCCAGAAACGTGGCCCTGAACGCTTCGCCGCCATTCGGCTTGGCGATTACGGGGGCGTGATCTCCAAGTACTCTGAGTTTGCCATTGTGACACGGAGCCAGGTCACCTCATCGGCGCGAGCTTTACTCGCAGCCCCGAAACGCAGCGTTTACTCCAATAGGGAACGTTAACAGGCACTTCAATTGTCCTTTGTAAACGCTGTAAGTTCATCAATTAGGCTTGATCAAGCGCACGCACTGACGTGGACGTCATGCGGAGATTCTCAAGCTCAGCCCCTACTAAGCTTGCAGGTTGCTTGCGGGGTATCCCAACTCAAGGAGGTTCAATCTGGCAAGACTTCCAAGGGCAGTGGCATGATACGTGGGGCTCAGGCCCTTGTTAGAAGGTTTTGCAATTTGGGGGCCAGGCTGAAATCCGGGAATCGCTGGGCGGATTCTGCCTGGCGCAGCAACTCTTGCACCAACATGCAGGGGTTGAACCCACAAATGACCAACAAGAGGACGCATTCTATTCTGTTGGTTTTTCCATCAAGACATTGCTTCCACTGAAGCAACAAGCCATCGTCATGAGCTAGGAAGATCTTGCCATGAAGGGATACTTCGAAAAATAACGTTCAAGGATGTCTTCTACGTCACGAAGCTAACGCCTGTGTCTCCGCGAACAAGATCGTGAGTGAGTTCACGTAAGTCCCACCACCAAAGTCCCATTTGAATCTGATTTAGCTAAAAAAACCCTCAAGTTATGAAGCGAACCAAGTATATAAACCGTGTCAGCCTCCTCACTCAAGGCTGTTAATATCATCAGACATCACAACCACCATCTACAATCAATCACTACCCTATCTTCAGATTTTCACATCCCAACTCTGCGATACTCAATGTAAAGGTCAGCGCCATTCTTCTCTCTCCCCTCCTTGCCCGGGGTAGCCTCGCGGCCATCGCTGTGTTCGCCTCAGAGACAGCCGGCGGCACTGCTGGTCTCACCTTCGACTTCTGGTACTGGGACGGACCACCAGTCGATGACTGGGCCAACCATACACCCAAAACCTATTGCAGACTTCAAGGAACTCATGACAGTTCATGCGAGGTGTCTGGCTATAAAGTCGTTTTGCACACGTCTAATAGTAATGGCTGCAAATACGACACCGACATTCGAAGTGGTGAGTTTCGCGGTGAAGAGCTATGACGCCTGTCCGTGAACGAGTCCGTATACTGACTTATTCTCCTAAAAATCCATGGTCACGAACTACAAGGGAGAGAGTATTAAAGCTCCCTCTGACGGTTGCAAAGAAATCAGTACCTGTATCTCAGGTGGCCTTGGCGGTGGCAGCTCCAACGGCTAGCAGTGTGACTTCTAAGACCTCGGTTTTGGCCTGAGGTATCTCGTATTAACACGCCAGCACAACCGTCGGCCTGTAGCTACTCTTGCGTGGTCGCCGGAATTGCTATAAAGGGATATCTAACTGAATTATCTTTGAGCGAGATAGGAGGAACAAGGAGGGTAAATCTATGTCTGTAGCCGTAGACATCTTTGGTGGTTAGGCTCAACGCACCCCGGGTCAATCCCCTGATAGCTCCCCTGACCCTCAGAGCGCCTATGAAGCATCGTTGCTGGGATTCATGCTAGAAAGATTGACTGAATCAAGAAGTTTGTGATCCACGGCTACATGGTTTCATATTTGATAAAGAAGAGACTTCCTATCTGAGTCAAGTCCACTGGTCATATTCACAACAGACCATGGTCTTCGATTTAGCCTACGCTTCAACTTCCTGCCAAGACACATGTACGCTATGCTGCCAAGAATGTTCAGGAGAAGAAACTCGCCATCCATTTCCATCATGACATGACCTTCTGAACGCTTTCCAGCCTGAAAGTAGACTCAAAAGTCGAGTTGAGAGCTTGACTGGCTCTGTTGCAGTATCTCCAGCCGTTGCAGGAATCGGGAAGATGATGAGAACTAGTAACATCCTACTCTATCCATGTCCTCTAATCCAGCCTTTCAAGCACAACTCCCAAAGTGTTCCTCATCCCGTCAGTTCCTGACCCTGTTCTTCTGACAGTAGCCCCTCTTGCAACCCTCGCAGAGCTCTTGCTCGTGTGGCGGGCCGTCTGTTTTGTTGTAGTCCGGCCGCTCCATCTCAACGCCCGCCCACATCTTGAGCCGGTATGCGATACGCTCCACGTAACAGTCTTTGTCGACCATGAAAGCGCCGAGCGTTTTGCAGTCGATGCAGTGCTGATTGAAAACTGTGGCGTTGTAACCATTGCCCGAGTATCCCCTTATCAAAGTTGCTACCGTCCTACTGCCCCACATACTGTTGTCGCAGGCTTCGTTCTCGCACATGAACCTGCCCATGATACGTGTTTGCCATTCCTTGACTGGATGTTGGTCGCTGTCCTGATTGAACCACGTCGAGCCGATATCGTCGGCCACGGCGGTGGCAACCGCTTGGTGGAGCCGCGGAAACATGAAAGAGGCCTCTCTTTCCTTGTGGACCGTGGGCTTTTTTCTTGCCATTGATTCAAATGTAATTGACGAGGGTACATAAAAGTGCAAAGTACAGAGGTAAAATGGTCCTGCGCAGAAATTTCATGTGGCCTCCTTTTTATACAAAGGACGGCCGCGCGAGAGTACAACAGCAGTGCAGGTCTTGACAGACTTTGACTTGGCGTTGTAAATGCAGGAGGCCGACGACCCCGCAGCTGGCAGGATGGCGAGACACCTGGAAGAAAGGACGTCCCCGTATAAAACTGCATGTCTTGTCTTCACATGTGGCAGACTTCGACGGTAAATTTGCCGAGAGGAGAAAATACTTTCAGGCCCTATATGCTATTAGAATCCACATGATATCTATGAATTGAACCATCCTCAATACCCCTTTTCAATGCTGCAGTTGCGTGTAAGGTTAGTAACAGACCATCTCGAGGTTATTTCCTTCCAAAAGCATTCGGCACCCTGTCGTCGGCGGGAGAAGCTAGCCCTGCTGTCGATGGCACGAGGGTGCGTGGGATGTCGTCGGTTGGTGTATTGATGTAGGTCGTCACATATCATCTTCAAAAGCTTTATTTGGTTCAGCTGAACCACGGATATTGATAAAAACGCCAGGGGATTTGAATATTCGATTACAAAGGGTATGTCATGAAGACTTATTGAATACGTCTTTTTTGTTCAATCGCAAAGGTGTCTTGTCGGCTTCTGACATCTGGGCGTGCCCGTACACGTTCATCTCAACTGTGTACTTTTACACATGCGTGACAGACAACCACGTTCACAAGCTTCTTTAATAACAACAATCTAGCCCTTTCGACGCTTGAATAGGCAAAAGAATCATTGTCCACTAACGAGTGACCCAGTTTACTTACCCACGGCTCGAAGTAGGATGTTGTAAAAATCCCAAAAAGAAGCGACTTTTCCGACACCGAGAATCGAACTCGGAGCTCTCCGGTGAAAGCGGAGTATGTTAACCACTACACCATGCCGGATGATGGCATCGAGGGTCAAGTTTGCGTTTATGATGGGCCGCAAGTGCGGGGGCGTGGGGGCATGTAAGCATGCGTCCAACCTTGCAGGGCCAGGCATCCGGGTTTTCCGAGGTCGCCACCGGAACCGAGCCGAGCCGGGGCCGAACACCGCTTGGTAGCTGGCGAGAGAGATGACGACAACGGAAACGGGAACGAGAACGAGGACGAAGCATGGTAACAACAAGCAGTCTGACCTAAAATCATGCCCCAAGGATTGAGTGTATGTACACACATATCTGTAATTTAATTAGATTTGATAGGTACCAGGAGCGTTGGTTCCCCGAAGAAACGCTTGTGTTTCTCATCAGCCCCATATTGAAAGGGGCATCCCCATAACAGCTGTACACAGCCATGCAGTATCTGCAACTGGAAGCTAGTCTTCATTTTCCCAACAATATAGTCTAACACGTCTTGACCGTACTCCCACCTCCATACCACGGCGTCCAAACGGCATCGACCCGCCCCCAGTAGTAAAACTTGTGCGGGTCGAACCCGGCCCCCTCCACGGCCGCCATGCACATCGTACCCTTCCCGGGGTCCTGCGCCACGGCCATGTCCCGCGCGCCGGCGTCTTCATCTCCGGCTTCTACGCCCAGGTTGCACCACGAGAGATGGAACGCGCCGCACACGGCGACGTGGCACTGGTTGGGCCCGGCGCTGAGGCGCGGCGCGCCGAAGAGGGTGTTGAAGACAACGTGCATCGCCTGCAGCACGCCGTGCGAGGAGTCGCCGCCGCGGTAGCAGGTCCAGGCGCGCGATGGGGCGGGGAGGCCTGGGATGGGCGAGGCCTGGCGCGGGGCGAGGAGGTGGGTGTTGTTTTGGTGGAGGGTTGTGAGGGAGAGGCCTTCTTCGAGGAGGGCTTTGGCGGATTCGTAGGCGGTAGGGGAGGAGAGGATGGGGGATGCGGTGGTGAGGGCTGCATGGAGGAGCAGGAGGATGAGGGCTGGGAGGTTCTGCGGTGTGTGAGTATCCTAAGTGAGGTTTTTGGTGAGTTGGTTGACGTACCATCTTGACTGTTTCCTGGTGTCAGTGATGATCGCGGGTGAGACTCCCTTCCCAATCACTGGAGAGAAACTCATGAGAAAGGTCATTGAAGGGAATGGCTTCAGCCTTTATGAAGGGTGGCTCACATCCGCAGGGATGAGTGATTGTCACACAAATTCTCAAGAGGCACTAGTAAGTCACCACAGGTAACGTCTTGGCAAATTCAATGAGGGTTTGCTTTCTTTGGCAATACCCCAGAAGGATGCTTTCATGTTTGCAAATGATGCCGAAAGCAGACCTGCGGAAATGTGAGTATCACAGTGAAGCTTCGTGAGATGAGAAGCCTGACAGGCAATGAGCCATGTGGAAGTTGGTTGTGCCTCGTGCGATGAAAACTCACTAGCACACCTCACAAACCACATGAGTTTGGGATATTTATTGTTGATGTGAGGGCGGTTGTGACAGTGTGCCATGCCACAGGCTGGCACAAAGCCCATCTAACCCCTCACCTCATTTCCAATCCATTACTCATTTGTGGAGGTAATTATTGTAATAAACTAAAGAAAAAGTGTGTTGTGGTATCGGTGATACTGCTGTATCAGACAGGTAGACCCTGTCACTCTAAACAGAAAAGTTTGTCCGCCGCTCTCAGCGCTCATGGGCGCGGACGTCTATCTTCTAGGTATCTTGCTCTGCGGTATTGCCCGCTTAATGACACAACTCAACGCACATCACTTCCGCCGATGCAAGTGTCTCAGTTGTTGGGTATCAACTCCTCCTCCGCCGCCACCTCTGCCAGGATCTCGGTGCTCGCATTGCTTGGTGCCGAGCTGCCAACAGGCTCATAGTTATCCTCGAGATAAACTGCAAAGTTTTAGCGAGCTATTCGGTCAGTACGGGGGGAGACTTACCATTAGGTTTGACCATGAAGGCGGCCACCAAAGCCAGTCCGAACAGGGCGGACAGGAGCACAAAGATAGCCTGGTCAAACGTGCCAACCGTCGAGTAGTACAGCGTGTTAAACGCGATGGGGCCCAGGACTCTCGCCAAGGAGTGCAGGACACCGATAGCGCCCAGCAGCTGGCCGACCTGGTCCGCCGGGACGTGCTTCGTGATGGCGGCCTGGATCGTGGCACTACCGAGCCCGCCAAGGGATGTGACCATACCGGACATGACGAAGACGGCCTCGCTCCTGGCAAAGAGGTAGCCGAGCGAGCCGGTGACGTCGGACAGGAGCGCAAAGCGTAGGATCCACGTGTCGACGGTGTCTGCGCCGTTGTTCGACTCTACGATGGACACGCCCGAGACGCGCCGGCGGTAGGTGGCGGGCCGGACGCGGAAGACGTAGTTGATTGTCGGGAGGACGATTAGCAGTGCCAGCACGCGGACCATGGAGACGGCCGAGATGAAGCGCGAGCTCTCGAGGGTGCCCCAGCCCCACGTCTCGGGTGACTCGGAGTACAGCAGGAGGACGGTGCCGGCGCTCATGGCGGCGCCGAGGAGGATCATGTCCGTGAAGGAGAGCGCGAGCAGATTGATGCGCAGGCGGGATGACGTGCCGGGGCCGTGGGGGTAGAGGACCTTGAGGGGCGCGAGGGGGTTCGCGGCCTTGATGGAGGCCCAGGTGGAATTGTCGACGGCCTTGGCCTCCTGCTCGCGGTCGTGCTTCTCGCGGGCGCGCAGCTGGCGCTTGATGCTGAGGGACTCAGGGACGACGAAGCCGACGAAGATGATGAAGACGATGTGGCAGCCCATGGTGACGTAGAAGACGGAGAGCAGGCTGCCGGTCCAGGTGACGAAGTAGCCGGCCAGCAGGGGGCCGAAGGCGAGGCCGGTGAAGAGGCAGGCGTGGAGGTAGCCGATGCGCACGCCGCGCTTGGAGGGCGGGGTGCAGTCGCTCGTGTAAGAGTTGATGAGGACGCTGCCGGCGGTGAAGGAGCCTGTGATGCCGTCTGCGACGGCGCCGACGAGGAGCCAGTTGTAGTGGAAGGTCCAGGGGAAGTTGGCGCACAGGATGACGGTCGCTTCGGCGACGACGCCGCCAACGGATGCGATGGCGAGCAGCTTCCTCCTGCCATAACGGTCTGACAAGTGACCCATTCTGGGCGCAGTGATGGCGGATAAGATACCGGTGGTGAGATTAATGGCCAGGGTGAACATGGACACGCGCTTCTTCACTTCCGGGATGAAGCATTGCGGATTGTCCGCCCCGAGCACGACAGGCGTGTACACGAACGCCGGGTCCAGGACCGTCTGGTCCGCAAAGTGCCTTTGGCATACCAAATCCACGATTCTGCAATCGCACGGCATTAGCGACTAGTTTGCGACACGCACCAACTCACACACAACAGTCACTTGGCGAACAACATACAGATTCAGCTTAGGCACGAGGGAGCCTCCAAAGGCGAGGGTGAAGAGGGCATATGGGAGGAGGAGCCAGTAGACCTGGCGCAACACGCTTGTCAGCAACGAGAGAAGGGATGATGATCAGCCAGCCCGCGGCACGGGCCGGCAAGGTTTGGTGGTGTCCTACAGATGGGGTTTTCCACCAGGGCAGGTCTGCGAAGTCTGCGTAGCCGGGCCATGTGTCTTCGCAGGAGGAGGTCTCGCTGGCTGAAGCGCCGGCGCCGAGCAGCGATGTTGTTTCGGTGGCCTCGTGGATGGGTTTTCCTTGGGTGTCGCGGTCCACGCGGGTGACGACGATGTCGTCTTTCGGCGCTGACATGTTTGCGCTGAGTTTGACTTCTATGGTTTGGGTTGTTTTTGTCGCAATGAGGTTGAGAAGCTTGCTGGAGCTCTCGCTGGACGAGAAGACACCGTGGGCCGGTTCGAAGAAGTTATGCTGAGCTTTTTGAGAAGCTGATTTCGTCGGGCGTCGGAGCTATTTCGTCCCTCTCGGACTTGAATGTTGGGGGCCGGTTCAGTTCTCGCAGCGACACTGCCACGATGCCATTCCTGTTGGATCGCACTTTTGGTGATACAACGATCTCTATCTCTCAGCCGCACTCTCGCAGGAAGCGGGACGCAGTAACTATGAACAGAAAAGATAGAACGAAAAACGCTGAAGAGGGAGGGGGCTGAGGAGGGGCCGTGGCTACATGACCAAGGCCGTGACGGGCAGAAAGGTAGGAATGGGAATGGAAACGAGAAAAGAAATAGAAAACAAGCCCGCTGCGAGCTTCGTACCTACGCTACCTTACGTCGCTGGGGACCGGGGGCCGCTGTCCACATTGAGAGATAAGGCGCGTGTGGGACAGCGATGGACGCTGATGAAATCGAGCCAAGGGCCCGGGCGGCGACACAGGGACAGAGACAGAGGAACGACGCACTGGACAGAGCAGACAAGACAGGGGTTCGGACTGTGTGGGATGGGGGGGCCAGAGCTGGGATGCCGGAACTTCTGGACAGCGCGGGTAGGGATCCAGGGGGTGATGATCGGATGGAGAAGGGCACCACGCACCGCCGGGGGATGCGTACGACTCGGGGAGGCGACGATGGGCGCTGCCATGCGCTGCGCAACGCTGGGAATCCAGACGTGAAGCAGGCAAGGTCAGAGCAGTGCGCGCCAACGATTCCTATTGGCGCAGGCAGAAGAAGCCTCTCAAGTGACAAAATAGAGAACAGACCAGACCAGACCAGACCAACGCCGCAACGGCCTAACCACGTTTCGTTGGGGCCGGTGGACTGGCGGAGTTTTGTTGGTACAGACAGAGAGAGATGCGGGAGGAATCGCCGCGGACTCCCTTGGACTCGACTCTATCAGCGGACGTTCATCATGTTGTGGTCATGACAGGGCAATTCAGCATGAACCCCCATGGAATAGGTACGTAAAAGGGCAGTGATGTGCCCTCTCTCTCTCTCTCTCTCTCTCTTTCTCTCTCACACACACACACCGTCTAACAAGTCTATCATCATCACCAGCGTCACCACCATCAATCCCTCATAACAGGTCCTCGCAAACCACATTGTCCCTGCCATAGGTCTGCCCAGCGATGGCCCGCGTGCCTGCCGGACCTGGGGTCCTCGACGAGTGCGAACCAATCTCGTGGAACGGATGGCGCATGAGTTGGCGTATGCCAGGCATATCCATGACGCAGTTTCGCAGAGATGGGCGCGATAAGGGGTGCCACCCTTCGGCTACTCTTCACTGTCCGCAGCCACTTAACAGCTGCTTCTCTACTTTACCTACGTACCTAAGGCACCTTAGGTGTGTACTATGCAGTACTGCATCCCTAGCATCCAGATCTGTCAGGGCCGACAGTTAGTGAGGGGCACCGCATCCAATGGAATTAGTACTCTGTAATACTGTTCAGTGCTAGTCCAGTCGCAGCCATCGCGAACCGGGATTCGACTCGACCGCAGTCCGGGGCTTGATTTCTAAGCTTGATGTTTCCCCGTTCTTGATACCCGCGCGGCCACTTTGCTCCTTCACCTTGGGCGACCAACAGGTGCTGTCACTGGCCGTCGGGTTTGTCACTGATACGCCAGCAAGCAATGCAAATGCTACCCAAATACCACCCAAACCACCCTGTCTCTTAAGCAATGATAACCACGACTCCGCGTCAAAATACGTGTCAGATTGACCCAGCATACGTAACAATGTCGACACAGTCAGAGCACCACCTCTCACAGAACACCGAGTCTCTGAGTCCTGACAGCAGCCGCTCACTGACAACGGCGCAAACTCACTGCCCAAAAACAGAAACCAGTCCAACGCCCAACGCCGACGGCATTTATCCTGTCGTAACCCGTCGACAAGGTTCGGTGGTCGGCCTGTTTCAGCACCGACCGGCGGACCGGTCCCGCGGTGCCACTGTCCTGGAAGTTCCATCTGTTGGCTGAAAGTCTGCCCTGTTTTGCGAACTCTGTTCTGCCGAGCCTGGGCTGGCCCAGGTTTCGTCTGAAGGTGCTGTTCCTTGCGCTCCGGTTTCCGACTTG